TCGAGCAACATTCCCAAGTGTTTGGATCAGACCATCCTAACAGGAAAACCATAAAGTAATTGTTTTATAAAATAACAACAACACGATAGTCTTCCGTGTTTGGATGGCCTGATCCAAACACGGGTTTCGACCAATCAGAGCACGCGTTATATACATGTTATTTTATAAATGCAATTAACTAAGCCTACGGAATTATTTTGTACAACAATCTGCCTTAATCTACAGGGTGTATAAAAAAAACGCAACCTCGGAATTTCCTAAGAAATCACTTTGCAATTCTTAAGCATAAAAGATTTTAGTATAATAGATCATATTACTGTTGTTGTACATTAAATAAATGCATAAATTTTGCTTTATGCACTCGTGTGTGCAGTGCTATTTTAAATTCCCAGGCGCCTAAAATCTTTTGTCTTTAAAACAATGTCGATTTCTTGGGAAATTCCGAGTTTGCGTTTTTTTTTATACACCCTGTACAGTATTTTGTAAAGAATACCATAAGAATTCCGTTCTGAATTCGTGTTTATTTCCCAAGTGTTAGTGTGAGCCATTTATTTGTCGTGCAAAGCGGTAATTATGCCTGCATGGTTGTGAAGTGGTTTTAGTCATTCGAAATGTATTCCCAGACAGCTTCCTTAATTGTTGGGACCGAAAGATTGTTGTACGAATCTACGAATAACTCTCGTATTTGTACAATTTCTGAAATATCAATATATGACAAAGTCAGTGCCGTGTTACTAAACTTAACTTTGGAAATACTGTTATAATATATGTGATCAGGAGAATTATTAAAGCATGGTGCCTCGTATGGTTGCCGTCTTGAAGCAGTCAATATACAGTATACATATATGCGCTTTGGAGTTGGGGGTAAGTAGACAAGTGTTTTGTGTCGTAGGTAATGATATCTTGACAGCATCGTCGCCGAAATAATTTGTTCCAAATTTATATATTCCAGTACTTATATCTATTATGATAGTTAATTAAACACGGCTTGTGGAAAGCATGCCAGTTTGAATGGAAATTAAATATACGCCAATTTTAGTCGACAAAATATGAATTAAGATTTTTTACTTGTCTAAGGGAGTTAAGAGTAAGACAAGTGGTTGTGTTATGTCTGCATGTTGTGAAGTGGATTTGGTCATTTGAAATGTCTTGTGAGACAACTTCCTTGTTGGGACTGAAAGGTTGTTGTACGAATAATCTAGTATTTGTACAATTTCTGCAATATCAATGTCAATCTGATGGCTCGTGTTTGTGTCGACGTGTCGTGTTACGAAGCCTAACTTCAGAGGTCTTTCAAAATACTGTAAAGCCCGATTTAGACTACACGACATTTGCCTAAAACTGTCGCCTGCAACCTGCTTACAACTTGAGTTGTACTTTGTAAATCAACATACAACTCGATATATCCTTTTGGGTGGAGAAAATAATCGCCCGACCAAGCACATCGTCAACTGTACTTTAAAAAACTCGCAACAAACTTTTGACCAGGAGATATTTAATAATTATCAATAATTTATTAATTAATATGTAGCTAGTTCAATGTTTTACAAATTCAATTCAATGCATCACATCAATTCGACGAAAACATTACGGCGTTTTGAGGGAGGGGGGGGGGGGGCATCGTTAGAAAACTGTTAAGTCCCAGTTGAAGCAGTTTGTATGCTTTATTAATTATTATAACAATCTAAACTTTAAGTAAACTAGGTAAACTAGAACAACACTAGTGAAAAACATCCAAATACAACTATGTCCAAAACCTACATGGGTTCTTGTCCAGTTCGTGAGAATTCTGGTGACTAATGTCTTTATATAACAAAAATGAAATTAGATTCCTCTCTCAACGGTTGAATCCATTTTTAATCGAAAGTTCTTTGCCATGAGGGTTTGTGTAAAAAACGTAATACCATGCTGTTTCGCTTTCAAAAACTGAGTGATTATGAGAAATGCCTGTGTCTGATTCTCTTGTATACAAAATGTCAAGTCGTCACTCGTAATTGATATAAATATGTCTTTAAAATGCAAGCTTGTTTTAGTGGGGGTTATTTATTTGTCTTGCAAAGTGGTTTCGACTGGCTGCGAAGTGGTTTGGGTAAATCGAAATGTTCGGGACAGCTTTCTTGTTGGGAAAGACGGTTGTATGTCTGATCCAAAGGTTTGCACGAATTTCGATGCAAGATGTACAAAACCTGCTGGTGTGTGCTTATGTGGCACTAAATCTAACTATAGAAATCCTAGACCTGGTAACGATAAAGGTTATGGCTGTTTGGACAATCATAATATGCGCACTGGAATTGGTGAGTGCTAATACTGTTGTAGTCATTTCAACTTTACAACTAAACATTTAAACTTGCATCTGTTTTATAATGGTATGGTAATATAAATGATTGGGTTATTAAAGTTTTCGCATAAATTTTACTTTGATATAGGAGGATCCACAAACTGCACATTGGAACCTTTTCAACTTATACCCTACAGCCATAATAAACTACCCGAGAAATTCAGTGACAATCCACACATAGTGATGAAGAATTGTTCCTTGTCCAATGTAAAGGCAAAATTTCCAGACAAGGCCAGAGAAATGGAGCTGCAATGGTTGGATGAATCTTACGTTGATTTGAACGTCTCTAGCAACGACATATATTTCAAAGTACGTAACTGAATTCATTCCCATTTCTCTTTAGCTATGTGTAAAATTAGTTTGTTTTCTCTTTCCTAGTGGAAAAGATCAGTTCCAAATTTGCACGGGACGATAATTACTTTCAATCTCTACTGCGAGGTAAAGATCCCAGGGATCAAGGCTGACCAATCTCGCCAAAGAAAATGCCTGCGAGCAAAGATTCGTGGAACATGGTTTGCAGGTAACTGCTACAAAAATAAAATGTTGACTTATAAACCAGTTTAACTATACGTAACGTAACTATGTCCCTATAAGGGAGTTTAAGATTCACGTTTCCGGGAACAGCAAACGGCAGGTTCCAATTTTCTTGGCAAAATTTTCGTTGAACGTTTTCGTTTCATATTTTCTTTCTTGCGTCGAAAGGATAATTATGTATTTCAGTTTTAAAACAGCAAGCACATTTACTCTTTATTGCCTGATTCCGTAAAATTTTTCTTTGCCTGGCGTTTGCCGTTTGACGTATAACGCGAAGCTCATGCTTCACATCTTCTAGACGCTGACCCTGTACCAACTGAGCAAACAGATACCTCTACACCAACTGAGCCGACAGAGGTCCCAACACCATCTGAGCCAACAGAAGTCTCTACGCCATCTGAGCCAACAGAGATCCCTACACCATCTGAGCCAACAGAAATCTCTGCACCAATTGAGCCAACAGAGATCTCTACATCAACTGAGCCAACAGAAATCTCTACACCAACTGAGCCAACAGAGATCCCTACACCATCTGAGCCAACAGAAATCTCTACACCATCTGAGCCAACAGAGATCTCTACACCAAATGAACCAACAGAGGTTTCTGTACCATCTGAACCAACAGAGGTCCCTACACCATCTGAGTCAACAGAGATCTCCACATCATCTGAGCCAACAGACGTCTCTACACCAACTGAGGCAACAGTAACCTCCAGCCAACCTAAATCTTCACAGATAATAACAAAAATAACTTCGCCTGTAACAGTAACAACAGCAGAACCAAGTATGTTTTAAAGTTAAAATGACTTTTTTATTTTAATGTAATAATGTCTTTTTCTCCGCAGTAGAACATAGTTAGACGCCAAAAAGCGTTAACGGTTAGGAATTAGATAATAGATATCATAAATAATATTTTGCAATTGTTTACTGCTTTAACAATTTAATACGAGCTTTTTCCAACGTCAGTTTTGGCGTTATTTTCCAACTAAGTTCCCCAGGGAATGTGGATCTTTTTAACTTGAAAATTCCGCCTCATCCTTGGACATTACTATAAACAGCACATGATTAAAAGTCTTAAAAAGGGAAACTATTCCTTGTGCTGGTCTGAGACTTGAATCAGTTTTCAAAGCAAGCCCTTTATTTGCACCATGTCGTTTGCTATCGCTAATACTAAATTTAGGGCGCAAATTAACGACTGTAGCAAGAATTTCGGTGAGCCTACGACTTAGTTAATATAGACAATTGATCTCTGGTCAAAAGAATAACTCTTTGATGTCCATATCTGCATGTACCACATACAATGGCGGATTCTTTACTTACATAATAGAAAACTGAACAGCGCATGATAAATTATTCTTCCTAGGAACAAATCCTACATGGTCAATTCCTGTAGTAACTAGGCAACTAGCGACATCAGCATTGAAGTCAACTGATACCATGACAATGTCGCCTACCATTTCAGCTCGTTCCAGTTCTCCGCAGAAAGGATCGAGCAGTGATGGTGATTCCAGTGGAACAATTATTGCTATAGCTGTTATGGTAGCTGTAATACTGTTGATAGCCTTGGTTGTCTTGTTCTGGTTGTTGTGTAAACGCAAGAAGAGATATAGGTAAGCTTTTCAAAGACATCAATGAATAACTTTGGTTTAGTATCACGTAATGTGTGACATAATATCGATAAAATTGAAATTTCTCGCATGGAAATTTTGTTAAATATAAAAAATTACAGTTTTGATGTTTTCCTCAACTAATCATGGATGAAAGGAAAGCTTCGCATAATTATTAATGTGAATGATATCAATACAAAATATCACTTCTCATGTACTTTGATATTTTTACAACAGTTCAATAAATTCAAGTCGTGGAATTTCCTGCAGAGAAGACGGTATGCACTATTATGTATAATTGTTTCAATACCTCGGCATGATCTAACTATGTTTGACTCAGTAGTTCTCAGAAGTGAGTTATGCGCAACAACAGATCACTTTAAGGGAGCTCACAATTAAGAACATGTACTACCTCTACACGATCTAACCATGCTTAACTCAGCAGTGCGTTCAGCTGTAACAAAATCAAATCACTTTAAGGTAGCTCACATTCATGTACTCCGGCTAATGATTTCGCCATGCTTAACCCCGCAGTGAGTTTTGTACGGCAACATTGGATGACTTAAAGATAGTTCAATGCAGATTATGTAACTCAGCCATCATGTCAGTAACACATGACATACACAAACGCGTCAGTATTGATCCTCCCCTAACAGTGCATCTTATTTTCTCAATTCAGGTTGGACGAGCATGACACAGTTCAGATACACAGAGAGTAATATTCGAGCACCAGATCCTTATGAAGACGCCAGAAAGACAAACGAAACATTTGCTGTTTACTCCAGCCATGTTTATACAACGCTAAATGTCCGGAGTGTGGTTGTAGAAGACAATCCTGTTTATGAAACGCCGTATAGCCGCCAGTGTGTGGTTGTTGAAGCCAACCCTGCTTATGAAACGCCAGATAGCCAGTGTGTGTTTGTAGAAGCTAACCCTACTTATGAAACGCCAGATAGCCAGGGTGTGGTTGTAGAAGCTAACCCTGTTTATGAAACGCCAGATAGCGAGAGCCTTATGGTGGAAACTAACGACCCTGCTTATGCAACGCCAAATAATCACCCTGCTTATGGAACACCAAATTATGACCCTGCTTATGCAACGCCAAATAATGACCCTGCTTATGCAACGACAAACAATGACCCTATTTATGCAACGCCAAATAATTACCCTGCTTATGGAACGACAAATAATGACCCTGCTTATGCAACGACAAACAATGACCCTATTTATGCAACGCCAAATAATCACCCTGCTTAT